ATACCTGGATTCAACACTGATCGTGATTATATTTTAAACACTGAAAATTAAAATGTACCTAGTATAATTATAATATATCAATATAATAATAATGAGCGTTCGCTGAGTTAATATGTTCATTATTAATAATTACAATAATTACATTATTGTATAATATATAAATAGGTATCTACAATGGTGTATTTTATCAACCTTACAACTTATACAACTATTCGAATACTGCTTAATAGAAACGAACAAATCAAACGTTAAATATTTACACTAATGTTAGATTTTATGAAATGTCCATTCTTAAGAAGCAAGAATTTTATTTTTAATTTAAAATTTAGGGAAACCAGATGAATAAAATTAATAAATAAAAGTCATCGAGACCCCCATAGTTGGTTTTCTGAGATCTTATTTCAAAAATATAAATTTAAATTTAAATATGATTTGGGGACAAACGAAGTGAGACTCAGAATATTTTATTCGTATAAATAACATGTGGCCATGACCACGGACTCCTCGTTTTTTGCTGTATTTTTATCAGGTCATCCTATGATGGGTGGTTATGTGTGTAAAKACGGGGGTTACTCCGGTTACACTTAACGGTATGCTCTAGATCACTGGGATCGTTAGAAATTAATTCAATCGGTGGTGCCGAYGGATATTCCCCGGTTGTTGGAATCCACCGAGTAGTAGAAAAAGAAAAACGCCAAAAACATGACGAACACTGAAGGAAACGTAAATCTTGCCACCATGTCGATCGTCTTGGCCAAACGGACTTGGTCAGATGGTTTCGTCGTGACCTTTTCGTTCTGTGAAATCGAAAAAAATAAATCAWTAACAACAATAATCAAGCAATATTGTCAAACAGTAATACAAATATAGTATTAATGTCATCGGTTGGACAGTTACAAAACAGCGAATGCTACGTGCGATCAATGTTGTAAGCGAAGGTATAAAGTAATAGCTGATCCCCGTGCACTTCGTTGCCCGTTAAATGTWCTAAATCTATATGTCTCAAACTTTGTTAAATTCGTTGTTTAATAATYGGTGTATGGTGTTCAAAACTTATCCTAACTTTTTCGATAAGTATAATATTATCAGGTAGGCAATCTACCTTCGGTAGGTCGCGGACCTCGCGYTGTTTGTGCGTAATAGTGTATGATTTAACTCTAAAGTATTAYAGTTATACTAAGTTTGTAATTTTTACTTAATTCCATTAACGGTGGATTAGTATAATCAATTAATACAAAATCCTTGGTTATGCCAGCAGCATATTTTTATACATATAAATATTATAAATAGATAGCTGAATTACCCGGCGTTATCCAGGGAAAAATAATGATTTCAACTGTAAGTGATAGCCGCTTTCTTTAGTCGAATTTTTCATTTTTATAATGCTAATACGCATGTGCAGATGACAACTCTCTCTGTCTGATGCATATAGAAATTTAGCTAACGCATGCGCACTAAAATAAAAAATACGACAAAARAAAGCGGTGAATACAACATAATATCTAAATTGAATAGGCTGACAACTAATAAAACTCATTCCTGGCGTTTTATACTAAATTTTTCAAAAACTTAGTTTTTTGAAAAGTAATTTTTATTATTTTGTAAAAATGCTACATAACTACCGATTAGCCAATATTTCATTACAAACAATATTATTAGTTTTTTTCACCAGGCTCATATATGTATAAGTTTTTCTGAGCTTACACGGGAGCAGGCAACATAAAATTGTCCATGAGTGAAGCAGGAATCATTGATGTCAATTCCTACAACTTTCATTGTYTGCTCTTGTGCTTTATTAATTGACATACCTAGCAAAACAAAGTTTAATAGGAAATTGGGCACGTTTAAATTCGAAGGGATACTCGTTTGTTATCATTGGTATTCTTGAGATACCTATATACAATTTGACCACTCGCTGAGCCGGTAAGAATTTCAGTTTCAATAAGGTTTTTTTTCAAAGATAATATTTTTAATCTCGTTCCATTGCACAACTTGGGAGCATTTAAATTTCACRTGAGAATAAAAGGCGCGCCAATTTTTAAATCAAGTTTGTGTGGGGAGAGACCTGATGGATTTAATGAGTTAAGAAATTCAGTCGGGATATCTATAGCTTCATCTTGATTAGTAAGTGTATCTATGGAAATATAGTTTTTTTATCAGCTTCGAACATGGAAAAAACTTTTTCGTTTATGATGTTAACGATGTCGTTTTTAGGGYCCAATAATTAAGAAAAAAAATTATAAACCCGAGTATCATAAGCATAACCGTYGTTACGCTGGGTGATCAGGGAAGATGGAATTGTAGTGATTGTGAAAACCCAGAATGCTTGCCATGTTGCCAAGTTTATGTAACAGGCCATTATTTATAATAATTGATAACTTCTTTGTTTATTAAGTTAAAGAATCAATCAAATGTCATAAACCTTCTCCAAAATGAGCACTTCAATTAAAAAAAAAAAAAAATCATAACGATCGGTTCAGTAGTTTCCGAGAACGTAGGCCTCAAAGGCTTTCATTTTCACATTTATAAAAAGTATAACACTCGTTTTATTAACGGCTAGTATTAGTTTTTTTTAGTTAGCCAATATATAATGCAAAACATACAATTTAGTATTATCAAATTAATATTGATTGTTCCATTGACCATTATCACTACATTATTTAATATCAGTTTAATTTATACGCTATGCATTGCTATT